TCAACTGGTTTTCTTTCGAAAACTTTGAATCAATCCACCTGTATGATCTGGTGAACTGTAAAGTGCCTTGAGAGGACATGCATAGTGAATAGAAATAAGCTGAATTGGGTTGAATTTGATTTTAGAGACAAAATACAGATTAAAAGGAAAGACAGCAGATAAATGTTGCTGTTTACATGATCTTAGGTTCTTGTTATTTATTATAAAGACTGTAAATAATTGTGTTTCTTGGGTTAGTTAATTTGTCTTTAATATACTTTGTAGAAAATCTCCTTTTTCTTGTGGTAATTATAAACTATAATTGTAGCTGGTGTTTATATGAAACAGTTTCATCAGTTTTATTTCAAATTGAGCTGTAACTAGAAATGTGGAATATGTCCACCTCTGTGAAAGTTTCAATGCACAGTTATAGGTAAACAGGTGAATCTCAATTATTCTAAATACTTCAGAAAACCTTTACTCTCTATACAGATAATAAAATGCAGAAAGCTACATTTTATTTTATTTCTGTAAAATTCAATACACAGTGTCCTTCTGCAAGTGAAAACCTAAAACTAATCTACTCAAATATAAATGAATGAATGAATATATAAGAGTGATGAAATTGGTATTACAGTAATGTCATGGTACAAATAATCAGTGGAATTGTGCTCATCTAATACTCTCCACAAGAAGGATAAATTATGAAGTTCCATCTCTAAAGATTCTGTTTTTTTCTTTGAATAATGTATATTTTCAAATTCATAGAAAGTTTAGTGAAAGAAAAAGTGTTTCACTGTAGAAATTATTTGTATTTCACAATTTACTGCATTGCCTTTCAGAGTAAAATACGGTCTCCTAGTTTTTCAGCTATCTCATGTCAACATCCTGTCGGTTTATTCTAAGCATATCAAATCTTTACCTTTATATACAGTAGGAAGCATTTTGTAAATTTGAGAGCTTAGCTTCATGGATCCAGTTGTTCTTACGCTTGGGGACCACTTTGCTTTGTAAACACTTTGCAGCTAGATGTTAAATTTAACTTTCAAAGGTTCTAAATTGATTTGAAAGAGAGAAAAAAGCGGTTTTGTAGCTTTAGTTGACAAGTATAAGTTTTATTGTTTGTTTGTAACATGCATGGATGAAATGCTGGCTTCAAATATCAAATATTTGCTTTTTCATAAACTTTTTTTTATATTATTATTAATCTTTAGCCCCTAGTGGGCACTCCATCACTCTTCTTCCTCCATCAGGTAGGGAACTGAGAAGGAGGAAGTGGTGTGTACCGTATATAAGCGTGTGCTGAAGTGACACTTCTCTGAACGCATGTTGCTGTGAGATTAGAGAAAGAGGAATCAAGAAATTCTGCATCGCTGAGTTTAACGGTGAAGGTTTTTTTGGATGCAGCTAACTTTGTGCTTCTTTCCGTTTTCAGCTGCATGTGGCTGCTGTTTGCATTTTGCCTTTTTATGAGGAATGAACTGAGGTGCTGCTTCTACTGTCTTCTGAATATACTGCTAATTCTTCTATGGACACAGATTGAGTAAGTAGATGTATTCTCCTTCCAATGTCACATATTAGTAGTTTGTTAATGCAAACCATCTGCTAGTAAAACAACCCTTTTTTTCTTGTAACTTTGGGCTGAGGATCTGTTTTTCTGCTTTTCTGTCTTATGCAGAAGTGTGAAGAGTCGAGCTCAGTTCTCTTCTCACTGCAGACGCATAACAGAAGCATAACACAATCCAGTCTTGTACTTGTTGAGTTATGTTTACATAATTTGCTCTGCAGGCTCTGTTTCAGTCTAATAATGGAGCTTTCATTTAAATGTCAAATCTCTAAGCTGTGAGAAAGGAGCTATTTAAGACAGACAGTCCCCCAGAGGGTCGGCCTGCAGAAGTCATTCATCAGGAACTGGTTAGGTTAAATAAAGATTAACTTCATCAGTTCCAGGTTTTCTTTTTTCTTTGTTTGTGTGTAATTTTGGTTAAAATAAAATCTTTCCAGGTGATTCTCTCCCAGTGCTCCACCACTCTGTGATCTTTGAAGCTTTTGTTCGATGTGTCTTTTCACCGTTGTTTTTTGTGGCGATTTAAACGGTTTTTAGCATTTTAAGATCATCCAAACTCTATATTTTCGGAACTCCTAACTACCGCTGGAAAAAGGGGACAGTTGCTTTGTTTGAAAAGCAAAGTTTGTGCATATTAAGCTTTCTTAGGTTACTTTCATCCGCAGTGACAGGAATACAAGCCAAGCTGCCATTTCCTTTCAGCGTTTTCAGAACGAGGAACCGTTTTTTTTATAACTGCTAAGTACCTTTGTGCGTACATACCACAGGACGCACATCTGACTCTGCGAAAGAAATACCTTTTTTTTGTCGCTTTAAGAATGAGGAAATTTCCATAAATGACAGACACAATAAGTAATTAAAGGGATGAAGACTGGTTCAGTTAAACTGTTTAACTGAATGTCCAAATGCAACAACAGAAACCATTTATGCAAAAGTTTTTGCTTTAAAAAGCACATCAGAGATGTGAATGACTAAAGATGAAATTAGATTTTATAATATCAACATTTCACAGTGGAAATCCAGTTGCTGTTCTAAGAGCTGCAGTAATAATTTTAATTTTATGTTTTCCAGATATGCTTCTATTTGCTTTTATTCTTTCCTCTGACTGTGGGTGATGTTTTAGATGTTTATTTTGCAGGAAAAATGGAAGCAGTTTATTTTTATTAGCTAATTTGAGAGAGTTTGCTAGTAAAGACTTCCTGTCAGGCCTGTTGAGAAGTTTCCGCACTTTCTGTGACAGATTAGAAACGAACACTGTGACTAATTAGCAATAGCCATGCTAACCGGCTAACCATGCTAAAGTTAGCTTCTGTTTCACAGCTTCGTTTTAAGGCTAAGCTAAAGGACTGTGACTCATTTCTTAATAAAATATCAGATTTTTTTCGTACCAACTCGTATGAATCTATTTTGATTTATTCATTTTTTTCCATTTCATAAAAAGGATGACATCCTTTCTGAGATTTAACCTGAATTCTAAGTTAAAATCAATCCAAACTGAGAAACATACTAGTGAAACACGTTGACAGGCGCTTGTTATCATGAAAGATAAAAGAATGACGAGGTTTCAGAAGCTTTTGGTCTTTCAGATGTAGTTTATCAGTTATCAGTAGCCTACACTGCAAAAACTATAGAAAAATGAGTAGAAATGTCTTAAGATGAGTGTATTTACCCTTAGTTTGAGCAGGTAAATAAAATGATCAGCCAATGGGATGAGTATTTTTAGCAATAAGATAAAATAATTAGATATTATGAACTTGAAATTAGAAACTACGTTTGTTTTTTCATATTTTTAAATGAAAATTGTCTTATTCTATCGACAGTCTAACCTACCTGCTCAGTTAAAGACAAGATACACTAATTTTTAATAAAAATGGACTTACTTAGATTGTAATTGTATACATACATATACATCTAAGAAGAAAAAGTGACAAACTGATGTCAACCAGAAGAGTATCTGTGAAAATGAATCCAGATTATTATAAAATGTAAAGCTTCATATACAGCAAGTATGATTTAATGACCCAGTCAGCCCTAACTTGAACTGATCAAATCATCCTGTGCTCAATAAAAATTTATTTCATGAGACTCTTTTTCTGTATCACTTTAATAGATGTTACATCTCAGGTGCTGAATATTAGACTCAGGATGACCTTTAGTAAAAACAAGCATTAAACATGCAATATATAAGATTACTCATTCACTATACACTATTGCTATATTTATTGAATTACATATTCTACACAGATTACAGGTAACATAAGGCATATTTGTTATTTGTCAAATCTTTATGTTGAAAACAAAGGATGGGGATTCTTGGTTAGATCAGAGTAGGTTTGTTGGTCACCCAGCCAGGAGCAGTTATCCAATCGGGGGACATCAGTTTCGGTCCGGCCTGTCTAAAGCCGCTTTTCCATAGAAAATGACGCCTTAACGCGTGTTTTTCAAACTTAGGTCGACCCGCTTACAATCGACATTTGGCTCCCTTCCCACTGGCAAAAAAAACAATGTTTAAAGGCTGATTTATACTTAGAAACCAGGTCGTCTGCGTGTGTCGCAGTGAACGCAAATGTGCCCCCGCCCCTTCCGCACTCTGCTGCACCTCTCCCAGATAGTAGGTGACCGCAGACAGGAGGCCTCTGATTGGTCAAATCTATATCCGCTCTACACTATGCGTATTTCCTTTTTGGTACCTTCCTGGCTTGTTTTGTTTGTATGACCACCATTGAAAAACTACTCGTTTTCCACAATGGCTGTGCTGCTTCAATTACACTTATGTTGCTATAGTTTTTGTCTAATCAGACTTCAGCCTTAGTGCGTCGTTATGTCGATCAAATCTGCCCAGGGACTTCAGAATCAGCAGTGCTGGCTGACATTACCTTAAAAATATTACTGAGGAACATTTAATTTAATCAATCCCGCTGGAGCAGCTAGAGGGCCCACCCTAACGTCAGCATTTTCTGTCCTCTGATTGGTCAGTTGTAGCAAGATGTTTACAGCCAAGTTAAGCTAGGGACAATCTGCATTTAAGATTCACCTGTGTTAAATGTTTTGCTGGCCTCAACGGCCAATATTTAATTGAGATACTAAGACTTCCTGCAGAAAGTGCGTAGTATGGATTTTGTTTTTCAATATCAGCTTCTATAGTGAGATATATTTTATTTTCATGTTTTTTTGCGCTACTTTATCTGGTAATTAAATATAGGACTGCAACTAATGATTATTTTGCAAATAGATTAATCTGGCTATATTATGATTCAATTAATTGTAAAAGAAATAAACAAAGAATTTTTACAAAATTAAGCCAGGTGAAACTTCAAACTTTTCCACTTGAGGCGTTCTGGATGGAGCATATTGACATACATTTAAAAAAAAATCTTAAATGCAATATGTTTTTATATATATATTTTACACTTTTGGTATATTTCCTGCTGTAACTGGGTTGTTCTGTCAGCTGCATTCATGTTTTAGTGTCCCTATACCCCAGTTAACAATTAATCGATTATAAAATCAGTTGACAATTACTTCAATAGTTGATTAATCACGATTAATCCGATTAATTGTTTCAGCCCTAATTAAATGCATATTCAATCTAAATGGCTACTGATGATGTAAACATGGCAGAGCTGCAGTTATAGAGTAGAAGTTTGCTGTTGTCTTAATTGGGCATTTCATATTAGAATATTATTGGTGGTGTCTGTTATTAAAATGTGAAAGTGGTGTAACCCCTTGAAACCCATTGTTGCAAATATGCAACAAACCCTTTGTGTTACTAAGATAGCATGTGCATGCACTCAGTGCCAGTTAGACGTCAAGGAATTAAGATTTAGGTTAAGTTTAGGGCCGCCCACTGAAGGGTATCAGATGCACCACCTGCCACTGCCTGCTTCTATTACCATGTTTTTCCTAACCATAACCAGTGCTAACCCTTATTCCTTGCATTTTCATTTTTTCCTGTTCCTGTCTAGAGATTTTTATTCCTTTTTCAGACCTGACCTTTATTTATATAATCATCCATTTATTTTATTTTATTTTTTTTTACAAGGAAACTTCAATTTAGTAAAAAGATCTAGAAACATATTTGAACTTCTGCTTTGGAAATGTATGTTACAACAAGCTAAAGCAGACATGTATGCAGAGTGTATTGCAAGCCCTGTGTGACAGATGTTGGTTCATTTATTAGAATTTGCATATTAATACAAGAAAGTGAGCAAAATCGCCGCGTGGAGGACTAAAATGACAGCAGCGGAGCCACATCTGTTGCTCAATGGTAAAGGCGAGATGTGTGTTCGTGTGTGAGCAAGATCACAAGAACACAGGATGTTAGCTTAACCACTCAGCACAGTTTTCTGCACAGCATCAGACACATTTATCACATTTTGGCCTGCATTCGGGGTGTCTAAATTTACAGTTTCTAATAATTCAAATAGAAGGACAGTCAGAGCTTAATGTTTGACCGCCGGTGCGGCCATGTTTGTGTATATGCCTATTTATGGGACTGACCTAAAAGCAAAGGGATGTTTGAGGTTTGGTACAGCTTGTCTTACACAGTAGTTAGTTTCTTTGACCTCTACAAGCTTTGGTGGAGCTACAGATATAGATATACATATAGATGTTCTAACACAGATTAGGATTGAGCTTTTATTTTCTTGTCTCTCTCCTTTGAAAGACAATGGGATTAAACTGATTACCGCATCAATTAATTTGGAAGCAAAACAACCTTTCTGCTCTTATTTTGAGGTGCCTGAATATATTTGCTGACACTGGAAAAACGACCTAAAAATGAGTAGAATGTCTTAAATTAAGTGTATTTACCCTTAATTTGAGCAGGTAAATAAGATAATCTGCCATTGGAATGAGCATTTTTACTCTTAATAGACGTATAAAATAAGATAATTCGATATTATGCACTTGAAATAAGACACTCCCGGGGTTATTTTTTTATTTTAAATGTAAGTTCCATTATTCCATAGGAAAAG